ATTGACCCTGAAAAAGATTGAGGCTTACGGCTTTGAGCCAAAAGCATTAGACTTCACGAGGTCATTCTTCAATAATTGCAAAATAGCGTAAGAATTGGAAACACGAAAAGCAGCTGGAAGCATATGACTAGAGGGTGTCCTCAGGGGTCCTCTTTTTGCCCCCTGCTGTGGAACGTATTTCAGAATGATCTGCCCTGAGCTATAACTTCTGCTAACTTATGCATGTACGCTGATGACCAATCAAATGTACACCTAAGGAACTGATTATGTGCAATGTTAATTGAAGCTCCCCTAAAGGGGCTTTTCAACCTCAATGTAGTAAGGTTGAGATCGGACATCAGCATTTTATCAGGCGCCTTTGGCAGCCGCTTCAGTCCATGTAGCAATCTCACCTTCCCACCCAGGGAAGGACATCCACCACACAGTAATCTTGGGTGTGGGAAATTAACATCTCCTACCCCAAACCCTGCAGAAGATGTGACCTACAGCTTTACATCTTATTCAAGAAGACAAAGCAATGTGAGTCAAGTGACTTGCTTCTGGTCACAATGTTGTGCCCCAGCCAGGACTTGAACCCAGGCCATCCAACCCAGGGTCCAGCTCTCTGACCACTGGACTACTTATAAAATCATAAGGGAAACCTTGGAGCAGAATGGACAACGAGCCACGTCTTGGTACCGAGATAATTCCCTATTAGCAAATCCTGTTCAATCCCAAGCAATGATTTTCAATCCTAAAAATATGGACGTTGATAGACAATTTACTGATATTTGCATAAATGGAAAGGTCATAACTAACACAGATCATATCAAAATACTCAGCATCCACATCGACAATAGAATAGATTTTAGTCTGAATTGTGTAAGAGAGCAAGCAAGGAAGTGGGAGTCCTTATGCACCTGCACAATCTCATTCCTCGTCCAGCTAAGCTGACCATCTATAAGTCCTCTATCCTTCCCTACCTTGCTTATTGTCACGTAATATGGCATTTTTGCCAGGCTTCTGACTGCAGGAAAATTGGACGCCTTCAAGAACGAGCGTTAGAGCAGTGTATAGAACAAAGTCAGATACCTATGAGACACCGCTCAAAAGATCACGACTACCTACACTGTATAATCGTAGACTTCAAGACATTGCTATCCTTATGTATAAGTTAAGCTTAAGCTTGCCCCCACCAATCTTGCCGAAATTTTTAGCTTAAATAGATCAAGCTACAATCTGAGAAAGAAAGACTTTAATCTACCTTGATTTAATACTATTAACTGTAGGAAACACTCGATACATTATTTCAGACCTGCACTATGGAACAGACTTGACAACCTGGTCAAACAATCACCTAGCCCCCCGTCGTTTAAAACCACCATACCTAAATTAGATATTGCGAGTATTTTAGATAATAATAGTGACTGCTGTAATCTCTGTTGGTTGTGAAATTTATGTTAGATTTTTTAAGATTTTAGAATTTATATTGTTAATTGATTTGTAATTGTTGATTAGACTAGTGTCCCCAATTAGCTTGTGGTTGTACAGCTAAACACATTTGACACTTAAATAAATTTATTATTATTATTGTTATTATTATTATTTCAATTCTCTCCAGTTGTCGGGTGTTCCACTGGGTAACGTTGTTTGTGTCTCAGCAACTTCCCGTAGCTCAGAGACACAACACTTTTCGCAACAGGTGAACAGTTCCAAGGATGGCCGATAATTGAACACTTTTAAGGAAGTCAGGTACACCTAACTTGCCAAACCAGGCCTTTGATCTTTTTGATATGCTTCCAAGAGCACCAATCAAGATTGGTATCATTGTGACTTTCGAGGTTCCATGGATCCTTCTGATTTCGTATGCTAGTTCCTGGTACTTTTCCACCTTCTCCTCCTTGGTCCAGGTGGTGTTCTGATCCGCTGGCACAGCTATGTCAATAAGTGTCCATTTCTGCCTGTCTTTATGAATTAGGGTAATGTCCATCCTCAGAGACCCAGGGTCTGTGGGTCGATTTCAAGTTAGGGCATGAAGAGCCCCTGGGGACATTGTCTTACAAGACTAGTTCCAAACGGTCGCAGTTGTTCTGCCCTCTGATTGGTGCCAGAAAATCTTTGTGTTTTTCTGCCCAATCAGAGTGAAGTGTACTTTAGAGTCCTTTCGTGTGTTGTAACACGGACAAATACTAATAGCTCAGTTGCTCGCTATGTTTGTTTGGGCCGTGCGACGGAGCTTTGCTTGTGGTGAAAAGTTTCAGTCTCAGCACACAATGTAGGAGAAATCGATCAGATTGTCTGCGAAAATTTTAGCGGAAATTAAACTGAATACTTTCGCAGGTATCACTAGAGAACATGTTTTAAAGTTTGCGAAGTTTGTATACAACACGATGGTTGCAGTCATTGATATGTAGCTTTAAANCTGAAGTCTTGTCTAGGCTATACCTGGTTGAGTTTGTTCTTATAGCCAGTTCCTGAGCTGCCAGAATCAAACTTTCTGTCTCCTTTTTTAAAAAATCCATTCCTTAACCATCTCCAGGACTCCTCTCCAGCTTTATCTGATATTTGTTGGATGAAATCACTCTGTAGGGCTTTCTCCTTCCGGTTTTTAACTTTCTCTTCTTTCTTCCTCCTCTCATAGTCCTGAAGGCTCTCTTTTTCAGCAATAATCTTCTCCTTCAATGCAGCTTGAAGTATCCATTCTGTGCTCTCACTCAGATAACCATGAAGGGATTTGCTCTCCCTCTTTACACACTCTTCGATCCCAATCAGTCCTCTTCCTCTTTCCTTTCTCGGCAAGTACAGCCTTCCAATGTTACTCCTTGTGTGTAGACAGCCATTCATTATTATTATTATTATTATTATTATTATTATTATTATTATTATTATTATTATTATTATTATTATTATATTATCATCATCATTCACTTCACTCACATATGTTGCCTCAGTTCATGCCCTCTGGACCCACCTCTTCTCCCCTCCCTCCCAGGCCAGCCTTTCGGTTCATGATTTACTTAGATTATGGATGATTAGTTGGTTTGGAGTATTGAAAGTTATTTGGCCGGAATAAGAGATCAGGGTAAAAATGAGAGCAAAGTTTGGCCAGTTTACCCTGTAGCCCTGATTGTTAATTCTCCCCTATGGTTGCTACACATTTCCTTGTAAACTATTGACAAGAATTTGGTGTTAGATCGATAGATAAATTCTACCTGATAAGTTTGAGTATTCTCATTACCTGTTTGCTGAATAATGCATGGATATCATAGAGAGAAGTTACATGTTAATCACTTTTAAGTTGCAAGCGTATACAGACTAGAATGTTTTGCTATTTTAAATTTATGATTGAAAATGTATAGCTGTGAAACAACACTGCTGAGCTTGACTGAGAAATGGAGAATGGCTGCTGACTCCAAAACAGTATGTAGGAATACTATCAACTGACATGACCAAAGCCTTCGATTCTCTTCACCCGGCACTCATGGTAAACAAATTCAAAGCTTATGGCTTCACAGAGGAAGCGCTTTGCCTTATAAGGTCATACTTTACTAACCGACAAAATAGATTCAAATTAGATTCAGAGATGAGCTGTTGGAGGGATACTATCAGAGGTTGTCCACAAGGATTATCATTGGGGCCACTTATGTGGAATATTTTTCAAATGATTTAACTTTGTTAATCAATAGTTCGCCTAGCAATTTGAACCTGTTTATGTATGCAGATGACCACCAGCTTTTTGTAACAGGAAATTCGATACAGGTGGTAGAGCAATCATTAGATGAGGGAGGACATGCTATTTCTAGGTGGTACACAGACAACTTTTTAATTGGAAATCATGAGAAATATAATACCATGTTGATAGGAAAGAAGAACAATGATGAACAATCAATAAGTGTTGACAGTGATGGGGAAACATTGCATCTGTACCCGCACTGAAACTATGAAGGGTTACTATCAATAATAAGCTTGAATTTAGTCCACATTTTAGTGCTATTTGTAAGAAGGCTAGCAGAATAGTAAAATTAATGCTCTTGTTTGTCTTGGGCGCATGATCCCTATAGAAGCTAAGCTTCAGCTGTTGAAATCGGCCATATTACCTTACCTCACATATTGCCATACTGTGTGGCATTTTTGTAAAGCATAGGAGAAAAGAAAACTAGAAAATATTCAAGAAAGGGCATTGCGCTCAGTATTCAACGACAGGAAAACTGAATATGGAGAATTATTGGAAAAGGGGTGTCTACCTAGTTTAGAAAATAGGTGTCTTCAAGACATTTTGATACCAATGTATAAGGTCCAAAACTCCTTGGCACCTGAGCTCATTTGGGAAATTTTCTATAAGCAAGATAAACACTATAATCTAAGATGTGGAGAATTCCCCATTCCTAGATTCAGGACGGTGAAGTATGGGAAACATAGTGTTAAATATCTAGGCCCCTATTTATGGGGGAAAATAAGTCAAGATATTCATAGAAAAAATAGGCTTCAAGCCTTCAAGAAAGCTGTCAGGAGAATTGATATTACAAACCTATTAGATGGGTCATGCAAATGCATTGCCTGTATTACATAGTAGCTTCTTATTAACTAAATTTTATATGCATGTGATGGATACATTTTGCTGTGTATGATTGTCTGTTTATCTCCTCCGATTTTATATTTTATTGTATATATTTCTATGAATATCATTTAAAAATATTGTAGATAGGAGTGTCCCCAATTAGCTTGGTAGCTAAATCTCTTGACACATTAATAGAGTATTCACTCACTCACTCACTCACTCACTCACTCACTCACATCAAATAGGTTTTAGTTGATCCTATAATGTATTTAGTTAGTGACAGGTGAAGAGCCTCTCTGTGGAAACACTGTTAATAAACCCTTTACTCACTCACTCGCTTACTTTCTTTCTTTTAGGAGTTGAAGGGGTAACCACTGTGCAGAATTTCATTAATGAGAAAACATTTATTTTTACCTGAGTGTGTTTCTGTAATTACAGCCATTTTCATTTTACAATACGATACAAATTGTTCCTGTTAGATTCCCCCAGCACCTCCCAAGCCAGATTTTGATGTGTCTCGTGAAAAGCTGCAGAAACTTGGAGAAGGTAAATGCAAGATATTAGTTACTTTTTCCTTAATTTTTTTTTTTGTTGCTACAGTGGTATGTGATTTATGGTTAATGTTTTGAGTGATATACTCTTACTGGTGAACCGTATAACAATGGTAGCCGTGCATTTCCTGGGAAAGTTATTTTATCCTGGTTCTTGAATTAATTGTGTTTCTCATTTAGGTGAAAATACAATGACAAAGGAGGAGTTTCAAAAGATGAAACAAGAACTTGAAGCGTAAGTTAAAGTGCTATTGTTCTGTTTCAAGAACATGTGTAGTGCAGAGATAAAGCTGGGGTCCAGGTTTGAAATGGGAAGGCTACAATAAGATAATATGTGGGCTGAAAAAGTGAATTGAAGCTTGTTTCATTTCAAATTTTAAAAAATAGGTTCATCACTAACTTCTGGTGAAAACCTTGCATAGAGAGGATTTTCTCCCACCAAGTTTTTCTCTTTTTCTCTTTTTCTCAACATATATGAGAGAGTCTCACATGTAGTTCAACTTTCGGAATACTGTTTTTTAAAACTGTATAAAAGCTTAAGATATATTATGGTAGGGCCAAAAATGGCTTTGCATAAAAAAAAAAAAATTAGAAGATTGAAAATGATTACACTTTTTTTGGTTAACTTGAAAAATGTTGGTCTTACCTTCTTCAAACTCCACCAGCTAGCTGTAATTTAGTTAAAAAACATAACAAAACAAATGATTAAAACATGACAAATATTACTTGGATTGGTCATTATTAATTTATTTACCTCTTTAAAAGTTATGTCTTTAATATTTATGTCTTGTTGGCATTTCAGAGAGTATCTTGCCACTTTCAAGAAAACTGTAGCCATGCATGAAGTATTCCTGACACGCGTAGCTGCTCATCCAACTCTGAGAAAAGACAGCAACTTTAATGTGTTTTTGGAATTTAAAGGAGAGGTACATTGTATACAGTCTTACCATTTCAAAAGAAAGATCTAGTAATGGTACAGAGTTAGATATCCTAACATTTTTGTTCATGAAGATTTATCTGAGATCTGTGATAAAAACTCTTTCAACAAATTCACCCCCATCAGTGATCAATGAATAGATTCTCCTCTCAATTTTAGCTCACCAGTGAGCAGACAGTTAAAGAGAATAAAAAAGATTGTCTGTTTTCAATCTGACGTAAGATTTACATGGGAAGCTTACAAAGCAATATACAGTCATCAGTTAAGAGAATTTAAACTCAAGTATAGAGATTGAAAAGATTTATTTAAGACCCTATTTTTTTTTTCTCCAGTTGCATTAACTATTTTTTTTTTTTTTTATTTCTTTATCCCAGCTAAATGTTAGAGGCAAAAACAAAAAGGAGAAACTTGGAGGTCTCTTCAAAGGTCTCGCCAAAGGAGTTGACGAAGTCCTTTTGTCATCACAAAAGGTGGATAAAACTTATCACAGACAATAGTTTGAATAAATTATTATAACTTAGTATGAATTTTAGGATAGGTCTTTGTTTTGAACAATTTGTAAGAAGTGTATACCCAGATGAATGGTGCTTTTTTGTGCATGCTGATGAGCAAGTAATATTCATGTTCAAGCAGCGAGAAGAGACAAAACCTTAAGCAGTGTTGGTGTGATGGAACTTAACTGAGCTGCGAAAGCAGTGAGGTAAATATCCACAACCATTCACCTCCACTTCAGTGAATAATAGTTGATTATTATATGAAATGACAATACAGCAAAACAAATTTATGCAGATTTAGTCTGAGGAAATGCACCTAGGTAAATGCATATGTTATTACATTTTTCACATTGTTTTACTGGATTATGAGTTGGTTAAGAAAGTCTTTCCAGATCTACAACAATTACTCCCTCTTTATTTTATTACTGTAGCTTTTTCACACCTTCTAACTTTTCTTGTTTTGTTGTAGGATGTAGATGAGTTTTTTGAGGGCGAGAAGAAATTTTTAGTGGAATATAATATGAAGTAAGTTTGATCACCTACTTTGATTGGCACCGCTGAAAATTGTTAAAGGTACATGTACATGAATTTTGAAAGCTCTTGTCACTTATTAGGTATTTTCATTTTCAACTGAGTATAAACAGTTACCCAGGTTTCCTTTGGTTTTTTGTTTCTACAACTTTAGATTGGTATAAAAAGATCTTTCGCCACCACTTCAAACAATCTGATTACTTTGACTCTGGTTCTTATAATAATTGTACACTTAATCCAAGCTTCAGGGTATAACCAGTACAAGGGTCACGTGACTGTACTTGTGAAAACTGCTGCATGCATAGAAGGAGTCTGTTAGCTGATTCTCCGAAAATTATTTCATTTGATCAGGTGGCAGCTCTCTAAACAAAATATATAATTATTTATATATCTTATTAGACGTTTTGTTGTGTAGTATTGCTGAGTATTTGTACGAGTTGTGCCATATTTTGACAAGTGGGTAGGGCAAGTCTAAATATAAACAATGAGTTAAAATACTCAGCTATACTATGCAACAAAATGTCTAATAAGAGATTTATTATCCAACACACCAAATATTTATTTCTGTGGGGGCGAATTTCACAAATATTTCTGGAGTGCAAATATTGTGTGATACTTGTACTTGTCTTAGGTGTTATTTGTACTCTACAGAGGTGTAGTTGGATAATAATCATAATTAACTGGATCATTGGATAATGCAATTCAAGACTTTTTATTGACTTAGCCGTTACGATATATGAGTCAATATACCATAATCTACAAATATGGTAAGCGTATGCTTCAGCTTAAATTAAAAGGGAGCTGAATGATTTAATAAAATTTAATAATTTAATTTAACATTTTTTTTAAAACAATTATTCCACTGAACCCTTTGACTCCCAAGAGTGACTAGCATCTAATTTCTCTTAACATTGTCAGCCCTAAATCAAATGTTATGGTTATGAGAATAAAGGAAATAATCACCAACTAAAGAAGCTCTCGATCATCAAGCAAATTCTCCTTGTTAGCACTTTAGAAATGCATAGACAGGGCTGTGCTCTTTGAAAAATTGAAGGGAGCCCAATGCTCTGAAACTGTGAAATCCAGGGTGCCCAGCATATGCTTTTTATGAAAAAACTAAGATTTCTGAGTCGCCCAAGAGCAAAAGTAAGGCACCAGGGACCTCAGGGTGCTGCTCGACCACAGCCCTGATAGAGAACTGTATAGAGAATATGTATACTGATGTTAGGGTAGAAAGAGTGGCAAATATTAAATCTGTCCAGCCATGTGCAGTTATTAGATCTCAAGTAAACATAATGGCTATTTTATTCTACTCCAATGCTTTCTTTGGTAACTTTCTTTTGCAGGTTAAAGGATTCTACTCGTCACGCAGATCGTATGACAAAAACTCACAAGAATGTGGCTGATTCTTTTATAAGGATTTCTAGCTGCATTTCCCAGATGGGCACCAGTGAATACATGGAAATAGATCGCTTTCTGAACAAGGTAATTATTTTTTGGAGTAGGGTTGTCAGCAGCTTGTGCTCACTTTGGAGTCAGAGCTTACATTAAACTTTTTGAGAATCTCTGTTTTGTTCTTTTCTTTTTAAGTTTTATTCAGATTTGATAAATGCTTTATACATTTCTTGAATTGAAAACATACAGTATCTAAATGAACACCAATACAGACTTTTAGATATACATGAGGTAAAGACGATCAAGTAATTCAATGGAAAGGAAAATTTTTTCCAAATGGAACCTGATAATTCAACCAAGGGAACCAACATAACCATGCTTATTTAGAGCATGTCAATGATGCAAGCAAAGTAAAATAATTCCTAACCATTTGTTTTTCTCCCCAGGTGTCTGAATATTTTGAAAAAGCTCGCAAGTTGGAGGGCCGTGTGGCTTCTGACCAAGATCTCAAAACGTCTGATTTGCTCAGATATTATGTGCGAGACACAGATGCTGCCAAGAACTTTCTTTACCGCAGGGCAAGATGTTTAGCTGATTATGAAAATGCTAATAAAGCTCTGGACAAAGCAAGGGTGAAGGGTAAAGAAATTGCAGCTGTAAGTACTCAGAGAACTGATGTTTTATGAGATCTCCTTAGTGTTAAAGCTTATCATCTACCCCTCTCTTTGAGTCTAGTCTTATTTCTCAAATTGTTAGTCATCAAGTTTACATAAGAATTGAAAAAATATCATAACAGTTTTTTTTTTTTATTATTTTATGCAACCTATGGTTGTGAATTAAGAACTTTCATTTTGCCTTTTGCTGAGTGATGGGTTGTTGCAGTGGTAAGAGAGCTTGTGATGGTCTGGGTTTGATTCCTAGATTGGGCATTACATGTGGGTTGAGTTTGTTGGTGGTTCTTGTCCTTGCTCCAACAGATTTTCACCCTCCACAAAACTGACATTCTGAATTCCAATTGGCCTGGAAACAGTGGCAAAGAAGAGCCACCTTAAATTATTATTATTTTTATTATTATTATTATTATTATTATTATTATTATTATTAGCTATTGATAGCAAACTGGAAGCAATTATAACTGGAAACTTGATTAAAAGCAGCTAGATTTGAGAAAGAAAAAAAAGAAACATCTGTGGATTTGTTTTTTTTCTTGAAATAAGGGAATGTTTTCTTTTTGCTTTCTGTTTCAGGCTGAAACTGCCCAACAGACTGCAAGTGAAAAATTTGAACACATTTCAGAAGTAGCCAAGCAAGGTAACTGCATGCAATCTTGATATAAATTTCTAAAATAATTTTGCAAAGCAGATGTCAATGAAAATAAACTAGTGAAGGGACTAAAACTCTTCAACGCCCAACATCTGATTGTTAATTTTCCTCTCTAGCCACTTCAAATTTTGGCGTATTCTCTCCTCAGCAGAAACATTCCACAAGTGTAGGATCACCGAGGGGCTAATGATCCAACAATTCTGCCCCAAGTTTGATCAAACAAGTTATTTCTTATGTCTCCAAACTTTTCCCATTGGGAATCACATAAGATATATATGTATGTACAGACAGTCAACACTTTCAACCCTGATGATGGCAAACAGCTGAAAACGTTTGGTTTTAACATATTAATAATTTTTCTTAATCTTTTAGCCTTGTATATATATAATATCATATATATTAGTTGCAAGAATTTGGTTTAAGATCAAGATAACATCTTTTAGCTGATAAGTTTGAGTATTCTCATTACCTATATCCTGGATAATGTATGGTTACCATAGGAAGAAACTACATCTTAATCACTCGTGGGAGTTCAGGGTTACAACAACCAGGAAGGGCATCTCTTGCACTTGTTTTTGTTCTGTAATCCTTTGCTCCTAAGACTGATTAACATGTAGTTTCTCCTTACAGTGTCATCCTTGAATCAAACATTGAGGTAACAGGAAAAAAAGAAATGTTCACTAACTAAAGAACTTCTTGATTGTCATACAAATTCTCCTTGTCAGCAACTCAGGAAATTTAGAGAGTAACTGTATAGAGAATATGCATACTGATGTAACAGTGTGAAGGGTTAATCCAAATGTGTGGCAAATGTTATGGAAAGCACTGGGAATGCAGTTTTTTTTTTTCTCAGCCAAGTAAACAGATATAGTGGCTTTGTCAACTTGTATCTTCAACTAGATGTTTTACTTCTTCATTAGAACTGACAGACTTCAAAACAAGAAGGGTCCAACAATTCAGAAAGAACATGGTGAGTAGGTGTTGAAATAATGCTTTTATGAAAATAGATTCTATTTCCAGTACAACTGCACTGCAAATTGGTTATGTGGATTGAATGCTAATAGATGCAATTGCACAGCCTTTAACTCTTAAGATCTCATTGCTAATTCTTCCTTCTAAATGTTACACATTTTCTTGTAAAACATTTACAAGAATTTGGTGTTAGGTAAAGACAACTTGTTCTTGATAAGTCTGAATATTCTCTTTGTTTGTTTTCTGAATAATACATTAATATTTTGGGAAAGTTATATTTTAATTACTTTTGGGAGTTGAAGAGTTGATGCATCAATTGCAATCCAATCCAGAAGATGAAAATTGCAAGCTTGCCATATTCCAAAAGGTTTCTGGGCTAACCACTGTTGAGCCATATAGTGGATAGGGTATAAATAGACCTGCAACACAATTGCTTGTATTAAGGGGCAATCAACAAAAAAAGGCATGCAGCAATAGTAGGGTGAATTTAGGTAGAAAGACAGTCATTATGACTCCTTCACTCTCTTTGCTAAAGCAACTCAACTAACAGCATTGTAGTTTGTATGAGTGAAAGAAATTTTTATGTCAAAAAAGGTAGAAGAAAGTCAAACAGGAGTTTCGTTAAGGGCTGGGCACTGGGCACTGGGCACTGGGCAAATTGACCACTTTTAAGGAAGGTTTTGCCCACCTGGTTTGACCATCAAAGTTTATCTTATAAAGAATTTCAGATCAAAAAGTTTGGCCAGTTGCCCTCCTGGAGAAAACATTAATGCAATCCGGGAGTCAAATATGACTCCTCTGTTTCCTGGTGTGAAAGCAATTTAACTAACACTGATGTGTTTTTTTACACGGATAGTGGCAATTTGTGTGTCAAGAAAGCTTGCCTTAGTACCAACAACTCATCATTTCAAATTTTTCTTATTCCAGACCGAACGGGCAGAACTGGAGCTCAAACATGCTAAGGTACTTTTGAATGAATCATTTCAAATTTCTGCAGTCTTCTTTAAGACTTTGCGTTTCATTCTCTTTATCAGACTTCTGCTTCCAAAGTCAATGGTAAGACAATTGATCACATACTAGGAGAGATACAATGATTCCAACCACCAAGTGTGTCAATTAGTGCTGAGTAGCAAAGAAGGCAAAGATGATGAAGGATTTAGATGGGAAATAATTGCTCATTTTCTGTAACAAGTAGTCAGTAATCAGTTTTGCGTAGTCCTAATGGAGTCCTAATTGCGTAGTCCCTGGGTTCTGAGGCAGGACTTTTTTTTCTCGCTGCTTCTATGTAGATGTGCAATTATTTAGGGTTACTTTCTGGCTTGGCAGGCAATAATGATGAATCGCACTGGGTTATGAAAAAGAAATGATTCCCCTTGCATCACTGAATTGCTGTCAGCGCGGGCTTTTTTTTTTCAGTGAGTGCACCTCAAAGGTTTCCCTTATTTTTCAATATAACCGGGCTTGTTGACTCTATTAAAAGCTATGACATCAAATTACATCAGATCATAACTCTGGCTGAGCAAATATCGCGAACCATCTCCTTTTTTTTTTTCCTCAGGCGCATATGAATCTCCTGAAGACAACATTAGCACAACTAAAGGAATTGTAGTCAAGAGAAGTCCAACGTCGATAATTCTAGGAAAACTGTGTTAATTTCTTTTTGTACTGATATAGATTTGTAAAACTTCAATCAAACCCTTCCTTTGATTAAGACTGGGAAGTATAGTTTTGAACAAACAGCAAAAGTCTAAAGTGGAAGATAAATATAATTTTTAAACGTTAAGTAATAGTCAATGAATTTGTTTAAGTTTCTTTCTGTTTCAATAATTTTCTAATTTCCTTAACAGTTGCAATTAAGGGCCCTTTCATATAACACAGAAGTCAAACATCGGGCATGCGCGAGGCGATAAATTTTGGCCGCGCACGCGCCAATTTCCCGCACAACATCCCAAAGAAAAGCCTAAGAAACAAGCGCTGTCGATGAAAAATATGCGAAAGAAATTAAAGTTGAAATGTTCATAGAAATCTGTATGAGGAAACAAAAGAAGGGGAAAAGAAAACTCAAGACTTAAGGAAAACAAAACTTATTGCAGTTCGGATATCTTAATTTACCTTTTTTTAGTTTTACCAGAAAAATTACGTTTTTAAAACACTGCAACTTACTCGTGGTCATTTGTACCTTGTATAAGGCGACATGGTTCTGAAAGCCTGGCAGGACACCCTAATCATTACAACGTTCGCTCATGCGCTGGCGTGTGACTGCTGTGTTCTCTCATGGTTAGTGAAACAAATTTTGCTCATTTGGGGAATTTTTAACCCGGTTGCTGAAAAAAGAAGGACAATTCTTCCAGCCCATCCTCTCATTTGTGATTCTTCAAGTTGACTCTTTTCCCCCTTTTGGTCTACGCGCTTGAAAAAAAATGAATGAGTAGCCGGCTAGGGAGATTTCACCTTAGCTATCAAAACTGATAGCCGTTGGCTCAAACTAACGAGTTTTATCCACAAGCGAAGCCAGAATTTTGACACAAGAACATTTGTAGCGTAGTCAAAGGATGCCAGTCTCCCAAACAGCCCCCAACGCAATCCCATTGACTGTAAAGACTGTCAATACGAGACATCAGGTAGGATAGAAAGTTTACTCCTTGTGTTTAATTGAACTGATTTACCAGTATTGAATTATCTTTGGTTTTAAAAGGACAGTGTCGCAGCTTTGTGTGTGTTGTGGATGGTCCTTAAGATACAACATAGTGGGCGATGAACAGACTACAACTTTTTCTTGTCACGGTTACGATCTCGAGGACGAAACTGCTAGTTTAAAGGGGCCACTGAAATGATTTGTATCCTGCGCAGAATTAAGAAGGAGAGCTTCTGTATTCATTGCTTTTTGAGAATGGTCGTGGCATGCAAGACATTGTTGGTAATTAAGTGCTTATTGTCACAGAAAGAAACTCTGCTGCATCTCTCTCTTTAAATTACTCTTCCTGAAATCTACCGAATATCCACCCTCCCGTAACTGTTTTTTTATCGCCAACCCCTCCCTCAGACTGCAAAGGCGCCTACTCAGTATTACACGGTGCTCGAGCAAATAAATTGCACAACCTCCCCCGTCGAGATCGTCGAGGTTTCTCAAACATTTTCTCACGTGATCAGCCGCCATCTTGAAAGCTAACGGAGAAACCCCTAACAGCGAGGTTGCGTTACATGACTGTCTCGGTGACGCAATCCCTGCGAACAGTCTTAGTTACAGTCACAAGGAAGGATTACAAGAGCTTTCATATTTTAGGAAAGGATGTCGACTAAGCCTCAGGAAAAAGTTGAAGCAAAATGTCTAGTTTAATCTTAATTATTGTCATGTTTCAAGCCGCACTGTATAAGGAATCAGAACCATTAAAATTGGTAGAGACACTGTGAACAAGACAAAATAATAATTCCTTTGTACACCTTTCAAATCCCTTCGGACCCAGCAGGTCGCTGACGCTATTTTCAGATTTAGCATATTAAGTAAATTGACAAGATGTTTGCAAGTGATTTGTGTCTTATTCAATTTAAAAAAAGTTAAGGTCATCGGTTTGCCGTTAAAATTTCAAAAATTTCTCAGCAGACAGAATGTTCTCTACTTTATCAGCCAATTTAAACCTGGTTCATAATACTTAAGTTTAGTTAAGCAACGTATACACAGAGCGTGATACGATACGAAGTAGGGGCTGGCTTCAAGTGTTTACACAATGCCCATTGTGTGGCCTTTGTTATTTCTAGCAGTGTTTATTACCAAATAAAGTGGAAATCTCAATTAAGATGCATTTCTACGAATTATTTTTTTCTTTTAATCAGAGGTACCCTTAATTTTAGGCCAGCGACTTCTTCGAGAGTCGAGGGGACGGGAAATTCTCCGGCGTAAGATTTCGGTGTGTATATTGCAATTACCATTCTTGACTTGTTCAAACGAAGGATCGCGTTCAAATGATGCGGATCACTGGAATATCGAAGGGACATTTCTCCTACGATGCAGAGCCGCGTCTCCATTTTAGATCCCACAACCATGCAGAGATCACTCGAAGGCACCACAATGACAGCGTCGCCAATCTCCACATCCAAACGTGCTATGAAACGCGGGAGTAAGACAACAGATGCTGATATCGCTCCCAAATTATCAATGTAGTGAATACCTGCCTTACTCTGAGCCCAGAGATGTTCTCCCCGATCGTCCAGCTTTTGTTCTAGATTTTTTAGCGCCACCTCTTGAAGAACACTCTCCGAGGTGATCCACGCTTCTAAATGGCTCGTCGAGATATATTTAAGTGAATCGGTGCTTTGACTGTCGTCGACGATCGCTAGCGTGTAACCAAGTTTTGCACCAGGAATATTCTTCAGTGGCGTGAACAAGACACCCGCTTTGTTCTTGGGATCTATTCTGACGAGTAAATCCTTCGTGGCGTCTATCCAAGAGCGCGCTTTGATCACAGGGAATATTTTGTCGCGGACGCGGGTGAAATCTTCAATTTGTTCGCGGTTTACGTTGAGTGTACTTGATTTTTTGAGCGGTACTCCGCCGACAGCTCCCTCGCTCTCCGAATCTGTGATAGTCGCGCCATTAGAGACCTCCGATTTCTTAACGGAGAATGTTAAAGTCTGATCGGATGTCGCCGATTCAGCAACTCTTGTCTCCTGCGTAGACGACACTTTGGTCGTAAACCTCATTCTTGAAACACGCGCCAGCGAAATCAAACACAACTGGTTTGTAATCTCAAGGGAAATGACAGCAAATCTTGACTTGAGTGCTCTGTTTAACTACGGATAAAACCGGATATAAACGGCCTATGTCCAAATTCAGTGATCCCATTAGATGGAACGATACACGCGCGAGATGATTGGTCAAGTGACGCCCTCAGGAATGTACTTTAAGAACCTCGCCTTGAGGAAGAAAAATATCCGAAATAACTACCAATAAAGTAGTGGGTATTGTTATATTTCCTTTAATTTCTTAATTCCTGTTAATTGGTCAGATCCTTTACAATCCACAGATAATGTTTGTTTAGTAAGGAGACTGCTCGTGTTCGTGCCAAATCGCTCAGGGGTTTTGCAGACAGGATGAAGCAAGTCTGAAAGGCAATATCTTTGTTATATCACCCTCACGACCCTTTGATTAGTCCACTTAAGTTTATCCGTTTTTGGTTAATCATCATGAAAAACTTGAGGGATCGATGTTGATTGATCACGAGGAACCGGCTCAAGGATGTTTATTAAAGGCGCTTGCGTTGTTATGGTAACGAACGACCACTTTTTAGTGGGACTAAGTGGTACGTACCGATACCCTCACCGTGTGGAAGCGGGATGAATAGATAAAAATATAAAATGATGATTGTGCTCGTAAATCGCATGCTAAAAAATGGCAAGGATAAATCGAAAAAGTTGCTTGCTAAATTTCACAATTTCCTGCCTGAATTTCTCGATATCTTTAAATTAAAAATAATTAAAAAAATACGTTTTCGTTTTTCGCAAGAATTACTAACGTCGTTCAACAAAAATAGCTTGAAACAAAATCGCTGAAAAATAAATTAACAAATATGGCTTTTTTTGTGCGTATTTTTAACCGGTTATCAGTTCTGAAATTAGATAATAGGCTTGCGAAACGTTGTCAATTTGCCACTTATGTGTTTTAAAGGTTGATAAACATAAAAAAGTTCGCACGAATTCAAGTCTTCTATGAAATCGTTGACTAAGCGTGCTTGAAACGCGTTCTAAACCAAAATATTGTTCAGAAATTGCTCATGCAAGAAACGCAAAACTTGCTCGATGTTGCCTGAACCGCAAAAAAAAAACAAAACAAAACAAAACAAAACAAAAAAAGCTTCAAACGCCAAAAGTTGCTCAAAAGTTGCCGAGCACAGTCGGAAGAAGACTAATTGAAGGTCAAGGATGTTTTTAAAAAGCCATCGCGTTACCATGGTAACGAATGATTTGTAACGAGTTCAACAGATGGCGGACACGGAAAATATAAATAGAAATAACAAACATTGCGAAACGAAGCCACTTGTAGAAACTCGTCAGAATTGTTAATTGGAAAGTTAAAAACGCAATTGAAAAACTACGAACTTGTTTATATTTCATTACCTGCAAAGTAGCGTTTTAGCTAACTCACATTCAGAAAAAAAAACTGGCTGTCCGTCTGTGCATCGTATTTTAATCATTTCTTCTTCTTCTTCTTCTTCTTCTTCTTCTTATTGTTATTATTATTAATATTATTACTATCATTTTATTATTATTATTATTATCATCATCATCATCATCAACTTTAAAAAAGGCAAATTTTTATTTCCACCATCCGCCGTTAGCCGTTCGTCAACTGCCCTCTGTCGAGTGAGCAATCTATATTCTCCTTTCCACAATAAATGCGCATTTCTTTGATGCCACTATATTGCCCTCTGTCATAGTGGTATAGTTTATACTTTGCCACCCGCATGATGAATGACTAATGGTGACAGCTCGTGAAATGGTGGCAGTGAAAATATTGCTGTTAGGTGTTAGGTATTGGGTGTTAGGTGTTAGGTGTTAGGTGTTAGGTGTTAGGTGTTAGGTGTTAGGTGTTGGGTGTTAGATGTTAGGTGTTAGTGTTAGGTATTCACGAAATTACGTCATGGGGGTTTTCCCAGAATTTAAGATAACTTTGGTAATCTCACCAGCATCGTTTGATTGGCGAGCGACGGCCAGCGATTGGTGGGCGGCGAGTACCGGAATCATGAGTCGCGAGTCACGAGTCACGAGTCGTGATATGTAAAGGCAATTAACCGCTTTAAAAAGATCTAGAAAAAAGGAGAAACTACCTAAATTAATATATGTCTGATGCTTGAGTACTTTAACTAAACTACACTCACGTACTCAAAATACATAAGGTTAAGACTCCTATATACTATAAACAACATTTCCCACGTTTTCAACGAGCAGAGTGGATCAAAGTTATCTGGGCGAAAGGGTGATTAATTGAACAAAGCCGGCGGCTTCCTTGTCTTAGCGGCTCTAATCTATTTCTTTTCAGAAGCTTGTGAAGACATGGTAGCTGGAGCTCATTCGCGCCAATCATGATTGCTGAGTTTGTCAGTTCTGCTTGTCTCCTCCTGTTGGTTGTTGTTCTTTGCTGTATGATGAAAATCTACAACATGGTAAGAGACATCCGACCATCAGGGAACGAAAGAGCTCGTGTTGCGTTCGCCAGAGAGAATCAGAGAGCCTTAGCAGCAGAGAGGGAGCCCACAGGTTATTTTCTTAGAGCTGAGGGAAGTGCAGAACAACGCAGTCCATGTAATATGAATACGTCCCACAAGGAGTACGGGGCACAAAAGTTACGACGATATCCACAGATACATGACGAGCGTTTTGGGTGACAGAGTAAGAAAGATGTCCTATATGTTTCAGTCAGTAAAACTCGAAAATTTTTCAGTTTGTTTAATTTGTTTTCACCTCCTCGACCCTCCAAGCTTCATCTTGTCACTTGTCGTTTTTTTTTAGCTTGACGTGATCTTGTGTTCAGTACATTATATTGCTTACTCTTCACCAAAGTGGAGATTGTTGGTGGCGGATACTGGCCGAGCCGTATTCAACACAAACACCCGGATACGGGTCGGTGGATATCCACCACTAGGGTGAATAGTTGTTAACTGTTCTAAAAATGCCAGTAGTCAAGCAAAGTCGATGAACAAATAACAAAATTCGTTTCTATTTACCTTGCATGATAAGAATTTAGTACTTGTGCGAACTGAACATTCATTTTTTTTTTTTTTTGATAGCTTTCAACAAATTGTTCGTGTTCCTATGATGAACTGACTATATCAAGAGAATGCGAAAAATGCCGCCACTGTATGGGAGGACAACAGTACATTTTATATAAATACTTCATTTATTTCATTTTTATTTCATTTATTTATTTCTCCAAACCTTAGCAGAATCAGATACAAGCTGAAAAGTAAAGCAAAAGATATAAAAGTTTCAAGGAAAGAAAACTTACAATACAAAATTACACCAATTAAATTAAGCCGCATTGTACATAGGAATGCACGTCCCAACAAACTAATATTGTACCCCTTAAGTTACGCCAGTATAACAAAAAAAGAAAAAAAGAAAAACAATTGTCATTTTTTAATAACATAGGTAAAGAAAAACTTATAAAAATAGCTCAGTAAATTTTCAAAGAGATGATGTTTCATATAAATACTTGTATCTAATAACGCTTTGTTTCGTTTAAGTTCTAATTTATAGATTACATTGTCGTCACTTTGAAAACTGCGGGCGGGTTAGCTGGTGTTGTTCACAGAACCGCGCTCTAAGTTATCTTCAATTTAGCCGAACGTTAACCTTTTATCTGAACATTTATTCTTGTGAACAGTGTCAAGAGGGCCGAAAGCTAAAAGTGGACGGGCATTCATTTAATTAAATCAATCATCTTATAGCCGGAGAATCCCTGAGTCCCACCGTTTGCGCAAAAGCGCGTTTTGTGTAAATAACCGGCCCTGTATGTTTACAGCCAATTTGTAATAAAAGAAAAAACTTTGTCCAAAAATAAAATGCCAAGAAAGTAGTAAATTGTTGTCGAGGTTTATTTATTTCTTGCCGCTTTTTGTAATGAAACCTCCTTCGCTGGCAGTTTTTCTATCATCATTATTATTATTATTACCCAGCTTTCGATGAAAACAATTCAGAATTAAAGGGAACTAAGCCGTGACGTCATACCCCCTCTCAGTTTAGATCACGCGCGTGTTTCAATTCATATTCAGCCGCACTGTTGCATTTTTTGCAAACAATCAGTATACTAAATTATGGTAACCGTGAAAAAAAAAAAATAAATAAAGGAATCAGTAGAGTGGTATGAACGTGTATGATTTCAGAAAAAATTACACTCCACTCAGTGCAATCACCATTATTTCATCCTTATTCTTGTCCGAGGTTTAAAATCTTAAGACAACTTTCGGATAAATGTCAGAAAATTTCAGTTGTACTATCATCCCAACCCGCTCCCCCTACTAAATAGAATTTTTTCCTCAATCATTTGAGAAAGCAAACTGTTTAAATTAAGAGACGAGGAAATTTTCAATGTCTACCAGCAGTCGTGAGGCCGTTCGCCATCCGCCCTTCTGCATTAGCAGTTTAAAAAGTTTACAGACTCTCCTTTTCACATGAGTGAGCATCTCTTTGACACCAATATGCGTTTACAATGTATCACCATGCCATCGATCGAGTTCTAGAATGTCAAGTTTTGCATGATGTTTTACCGCATATGCTGAAAACGTAATGAAATCGACAGAAAAAGTTTTGAGACATCCCTGTTTCCTTCAAAAGAAGATTTATTCTTTAAGGTTTGAATAAGCTTGAATGGGAAAAATCAAGCAATCCGAGGGAGAGGCGAATTATTGGCGGATAATCAGCAGAGTTGATTCAGTGTTAGAAGACTCTCTATTTTTCTATATTTTTTTCACGGTGTGTCCATGGAAAGGAAAAACCACGAGTTTTTTATTGACTCGTGACTTGTAACGTGCCGACTTGGTTTCTGTATCGCCAGAATAACCGGAAACGTATGTTGATTGGCAAAGGCGAATCGCCGTACTTTTTGGCCCTCGTCTATTCAGGCGGTCGTGACAACATCTAAGTTGAAACTTATGCCCAAGTTATGATTGCGGAGTTTATCAGTGTTGCTTCTTTCGTCTTGATGATTGCTGAAATCTGCTGCATGATTAAAATTTTACAACATGGTAAAAAACATCCAACCATCAGGGAATGAAAGACCTCGTGTGGAGTTCACCAGAGCGGGTCAGGGAGAGCTCTACCAGCAGAGAGGGAGCTTACAGATTTTTTACCTATAGCCGAGAGTAGTGCAGGACATGAACAACGTGGTTTATGTTATAATACACCCCGGACATTAGTCC